GTACGGCAATCCGTTCGGAAGTTGCATGCTGCCATCAAATACATTCTGCACTACTTGGAGCGGTCAGTAGCACTAGAACTCGAGTTCAGGAAGTCAAGTGCTTGGCCTACATCAGATTCGTGTCAAAACAACAGCAAGGTATTTGTGCAAAATAAATTATAATGGGAAAAAAAATTGTGCTGAGAAATATATTTTACCACAAAGTTGAGGAACTCACTAGGACAAAAATTATCTGAAAGGGTGGTCTCTACGTTTCATCAACTGCTAGACAATAGACTGATGAAATTTTGAAGCATAGAAATTTGTGTCGCAATGGAATCATATTTTTAAAAAAAAAAATAATTATAATACTATGCTCTACTGTTTGTATCGAGCACCGTTTCTCTAAAACTAAAAATAATTGCTAAGGACACCGGATTTTAAATCTTACAGTTTTTCCTCATTATATATATATATATATATATATATATATATATATATATATATATATATATATATATATATATATCAGCTTTCCCGGCGATCCGCTTAGGTGAAACCTTGGTAGGTTTGTCTGGCTCTCTAGGTTTGACTAGGTCTGCTCTACTTTTAAATTGAGCACTTTTAAGTTAGTTGATTACTCGTATCGGTTTTTTTGACTTTGGGCTTTGCACCTGTATTCTGTACGATTATTTTCGATAGACGTTCATGTTCATAGCTCTTTCTTTTTTTAAAACCTTTTTTCCTTCGAGATTGATTTGATTATTGGCAAATCAAGGAACCGAAGGTTTTCCGAGACGAGCGTAGTCACCTATATATATATGCAAGTATATGATTGGTGTGTACTGAATAAATTCCAATAACCAACAGATACTATTCTTAAAAGAGGGCTCAATATAGAGTAGAGCAAATATAATTATTTATTCGAAAATTACAACATAAATATGTTATAAAATCACTACAAAAAATAGCCATTTTGTTTCAACACTTCTGGTGTCTTATGATGTTGAATGTAGAAATCCACACCATCGCTTGTTAAGACATCAGAAGTGTTGAAACAAAATGGCTATTTTTTTGTAGTGATTTTATAACATATTTATGTTATAATTTTCCAAGTACACATTGACTGCTGGTGGTAATAATAAAACAGTGCTGGTTGTTATCTAACAGAGCGGCGCATGTATGACGTTTTCTTCCGAATGTTTCGGGAAACTAAAGGAGCAAATGCAAAATCAATCGCAAACTTCATATTGTATGGACACTTGACACTAACCTATTGATTTATCTGTCGGTTTCATTTATATCAATCTATCAAAATGTCTTCATATCTGTCTTTCAATTAATAAAACTTTTCGTATGTATATACCTATCAACAGATATCACTTTGTTCGTAACTATCTGTCTGCTTTTATCTATCGTTCGCTCGAACCATATTTTTAATTTTGCGCATGCGCGCTTTTGGTTTTTGATTTTGTCGACTGCATAGTATAGCAGGGTCATTTGGGCATTGTTTCCGAATAAAAGAGAACCATAACTTAATTCACTCCGACAGAAATTTTGAAATGACATGCTGTACTGCTTGGCATTCGCTCCGGAAGCTCCAATACGAACATTTCAGAATTTCGGGGTGTCAATTTGAGGACAGTGCAGAAAAGTGTTGGATGATATATCCAGTCAATATCATGGTGTTTGAAGTGACTAGTGATTGCGACGTTATGCGTCCATTCATCTTCCCATAAGGCCTCAGACTCAACACCGAGGCCTACATCATGTGCCTTGAGGCGGTAGTGCTGCCCTGGATCAAGAGGGTGATTAGTTAGAAAAACAGATGCCTGGCAACAGGACTCTGTCCCATGCCACACATGCAATAGAAACCAGTCATGGCTGTTAGACAATTTCTGCGACCCCGTCACCCCTTACATCTGGCCACCTAACTCCCCAGACTGCACCCACTTGATTTTTAGGTGTGGCGTTCAGTTGAGTGAGAGACCAATAAAACTTCTCTTAACACCGAAGATGAACTGAAGTCAAAGATTATGGCATCATTCATAAATTTAAACAAAGAGACCGTTTGGAAAAACATGCAGGAGATTCCGAAGTCGTCTAGAGTCCATGGTTGAAGCCAATGGCGATTTTATTGAATAAGTTTACTGTTTAATTATTTCAAGATATTTGTGTTTAAGTTTCTGTTAAAATGAGATCATCTTTGTGTAATTTTGACGACAATTTATCTATCGCACTCGGTATATATCAGTCGAAATATTTTCATATCTATGTATGAATTGATCGTCGGCGGCTTTATCTTGTATCCAAGAATCTAATCCTTCTTGCTGATTATGATGATGGCGTTGATAATTAAATTCTCTGCCAACGTCACCTCATGCAATTCCTGTCGCCACCAACGTCCCGTCATCCATTCACTATTTGCTTTTGGCTTTGCAAGAGTTGGTTGGGGGTGAAAGAAAAGCACCGATAGAAGGAAAACATGTAGAATCGAGTTTTAAAGCTCAACGGGAGACGCCTTCTGTAGCATGTCCCTAATGAGTAGCCTTCTTCATCCGCTGGTACAACCGTTGAGATTTGTCGTAATTACTATCCACTTGTTACACAGATGGAGTCGCTGTGGTCGGTCGGTCGGTCACGCTAAGTCTGGGTCCTCATCTTCGATTTTGCCGACAAGGGTGCCTCTACAAGGAGTTGAGAACTCCCGAAGGCATTGCTGTCTGAACACGCAAGACCCTCCACCACGACAAGGACCGAGCATCAGCTCTACAAACAAAAAGCATGCACACACAAACACACACAAACATATAGATATATTTGGGCAGGAGCTGTCCAGACCTCCCTTTGCAGCCTTGATAGAGTTCAAAAGCGTTTCCGTGTCCTTGTTAGAGAAGAATTATTTTCCACACTCCAAACTCTCTCTCACGGGCAGCATGTGGCCAGTCTCTCACTGCTCTGTCGCGACTACCATGGAATGTGCTCGGACGAACTGTATTTCCTGGTTCCACCAGGTCTGACCTTCGCAGCTAAGACCCGCCATGCCGCTTACCTAGTAGCAAACACCCACATTCCCTCCGTATTTCATCGGCGCGTGTAAGTTCCACTCAAACAGCTTCTTACCGCCAAACATTGCCCTATGACACAGACTCCGAAAAGGATGTTTCCCCTATCACTACAATCTTAATTTGTTCAAGTCTGAAGTCAACAGTTATCTTCTCGTATCCATATAAACTACCCCATAACATAACCCTTTACCTTGAGTGGCTCCCGGGCTTTGTACAGGATGAACCTTACACTAAAAAAAATATTTAGACTGTATGTCGGAGTAAACAGTTCCTCATCAAATGTACCAATTATTATTATTAATACTATTGAAACCAAACAATAAATAAATTACATAATAAAAGTCTAAAGTTATCATTAAATTTATGATAACATTTTTTTTTAGCAGTGTCGTTGTTTAAAATACACGGAAGATAAACAATAAAAGAAGAAAATGAGTATTCTGATCTGAACCCATAGTAAAAAATGAAATTGAAATTCTTCTGACAAACGTGTTAATACGTCGTCATCCATAAAAAAATGTTACGTTACTTACTCGCAATGAATAATACAAGGACAAAAGAATACAATTACCGGCAAAATTAACAAAAACAAAACATTACGAAATGATTTTCTGAAAATTTCGAAAAGTACATCCTTTTTCATAAAAGAGAAATGTTACCTGTTTTTATTTCTGAGATGAGGTAGTATGCACACTATTTATATTATTCTGACCATTGTCCTCATCTTTGTCGCCATGTATGTTGTACGCTTCGGCTTTCTTCAGGTGGTTGGAATGTCTAGCTGAACCCCTTATTTCGCTCACTGGGGTAGGCTTTTCTAGTCCCACGTGCCATATCTAATGGATTTCAGTTAGCTCCTGTCAATTCCCCTTCTGAAAGTTCTCCACTGCTTAACCAGGTATTGAACTCACACTCTTTGGGTCCTGTTACTGGATCTAACTAACGCCTTTATCCACTCTGCCTGAGGATATCTGCGCCTGAATTTCTGGGTATTATAAACCTATAAAGTTTTTTTTACCAGTGCTCATATTGCAATTTTTGCTGTTATCATTGCATTTTTTTTACCACTGTTCATATTGCAATTTTTGTTGTTATTATCGCTTTTCTCTGGCACTGCTTATTACTGGTTCCCATATTGTATTCATTTCTGTACTTGGTCGGCTCAGGAGATTTTTGTGGCCTAGCATATGTGCTGATTCCTTAAGTTTACCAATTTTCCAATGATGTTCTTTTTCTATGATCTCAACTTGATCCCACAGAGAGCAGTGATCTCCTTTTTCTCTCCATATGTGGTCAGCCACGCCTGATTTTTCCACTTCCCCTCATGTTACAGCTTTCTGGTGTTCTTGAAGTCTTACTAAGGGGGCGGCCTGTCTCACCTTTATATTTCTTTCCGCAGCTGCACGGGATAGAGTGCACAGTCTTTAGCCATTTTCTCCTCTTTTTTTTGTGTCGGGGGGTCTTACTCGGGAGAGATATCTACGAAGTGTCGTCCCGCTTTTGAAGGTTGCCCTTATGAACCACAGATCTTTTGCATTTTCTCAGGATAACAACACTCAGAAAACAGTCTCCCTGCCTTCAAACCACCTGAAGAAAGCCAGAGCGTACAACGACCGAAACGTAGTGATAAACGTGGCAACAAAGATGAGGAAAATAATCCGAATAATGTAAATAGTGAGAAATGTTAACCTTCAATATTATAGAGTAGAACTATTCCGGCCAATATATAAGTTATTAAAGAAATACAACGTATTACAAATACAAAATGTTCTTAATGTAATAATTCTCAATGATATTAGACATGTTCTATATATATATATATATATATATATATATATATATATATATATATATATATGTTATGTTATATTATATTATATTTAGGTAGCAATCCTTCCTTTATGCATGTTTCATTAAAAAACGACAGACAAGGTACTACGGTTAAGCTTTTTA